TATCCAGTTTAGTGCAGTAGTATTTACGTGATGCCGGAACAAACATACAGACAGATAGACATTCAAATTTACATGGATGTACAGACATCCTTTAGTTACAATTTTATTATATTATTAGAAGTAAGATTATAAAGAGGAAAGATTTGATTGTTTGTAATGGATAAACTCAAAAAGTACTCAACTTATTTTAAAAAAACATTTAACCTATAGAAAGCCACATTATCAACGAGTAATGTAAGCTATATATTATTTTAGAAAATTCTATCTACTCGTGCGAAGCCGGGCCGGATCGCTAGTCTAAAATAATTTAATGGTTGCCACAATAACATGAGAAAGACATATTGAGAATTTGAATGACGTATGTATGGATTTTTGTTACTTTTTCTCGCTAAAACTAGTAAATTTAATATACAGAATGTTTTTTTTTTTTATACAACTTAGAATGGCAAACAAGCTGATGGCCCACCTGATGGATAGTGGTAACCGTCGCCTATAGACATGAGCAGTACCATGGACATAACAGAGTATACTGTTTCGCCCATGATACCCCCCATGCGTTGCCATTCCTGAGGACTCAGGTATTATTCATTCGTACCGAGTAAATTCATGCCATATCCCACCGTTTAAATCGAAACACAGCCATGCAAACACAACTGCTTCACGGTTGAAACACGAATGGGACAGAGGTACCCAAGCGAGAGTACAGCTAGTCGTGTGTAAACGAATAAGTTCTGTAGAAAAAAAATTGTCATCTGAAAAATATGTCACATATCTTTTATATAAGTTTGCAAGATTTCATATTATTGCAAAAATTTTTGAAATACTTTTACTGCGTGTTGTGTGTAGTGAGTAATTTTTGTTTTATGATATGAATCAACGGCACAAAGTAGTCAAAACACTTATCTAATACGAATTTATGAGCACGTTAATGACTTGGCTGTGTGTTTTATTATTTGCTACTTCACACCATTTCATTGTTTACCAAAATAATCCTATTAATATTGTAAATGTGAGAGTTCTTGATGGATGGATATTGTTAATCTTTCATGCAAAAACAACTGAACGTTTTGGAATAAAAATTGATACAGGGGCAACTTTTATCCTTTACTTAGCATATATCTAAGATTCTTTATCTTCTAATTCACGCGGGTAAAACCGCGGGTTATAGCTAGTATGATAAAAAATCAATTGAATCCAAAAATTTTGGACTTGTTCAATTTATAGAGTATGCCAGTAAATTTCACTGCTAAATGTGCCATGTCAGTGTGGGAAGATAATAATTTTTTGTCGTATTTCAATATATGTTTCTTTAAGAAAAAATTTTGAAATTTATTCGTCGAACACTATTTTAAAAGGATGATAACGATTTCTATTTCACTCTTTATCATTATATCCTCTGTTATCTGTACATTACTGAACATAGGCCTTCCCATAGACGGCCCTAAGGAACAGGCACGAGCTACCTGCGTCCACTGACTCCTTAGTCTTCGATCTATGTTAGTCATATTCGTTTCACCTGTATATGTTATTCATAATTTTAAATTTATGCTATAAGTAGGAAGTGAACGTTAACAGTAATTTCATCAGTCGAAGAGTCCTAAATGGGAATGTAAAGCCATCATCCAATAAGAGACGTCAGAGGCCTTCGGTTATAATGAAAGTAGTTCAGAAAATCTGACAATAGATGGCGTCACCCTCACACGATTAATAGTAGTAGTAGTAGGAAATAGGAAAGGATTCAAATTACAGTTTGTGAATAATTATAATGTTTGTTTTAATTTATAATCTTTTAGTATTCCGACAAACACGTGACATGACATCATGTTATCTAAAATTAGATAGTAAACAGAGACGTACGCAGACACATGAATATTTGCAGAACTATGTATGGTCAAACTCGAAGAACTGTTAGTTATATTACGTGTTCGCAAATATCGAAATTGCGGGCCAAACCATGCGGATTTGGATCACGGAACTACGAACTGTACGGTTTGCGTCATATCCGATGTAAGTACGTACTAATGAAATGTTCACAATTGGAGTAACAATAGTTCAGTCAACAGGCAGTAAGATCCGTTTGGAAAACATTATCCAAACAGGATGTCGTCAAACTATGTGCCAAAATAAAAAATGAAGCTTAGCTCGTCGAACTCGCATCGCGTAGTTAGCAAAAAGTTATCAGATTAATTTTTTTTTCCTCGGAAACTATGGATTTAATGAACTTAGTTTTACTTATTACATTGCATTATATATACTAGTACTAAAAAAAAATTAAGTGGTTTTATTTACGCCGAATCAGTTATGTCTTTTTCCGAAATCTGTACCAAAAAGGCTTTTGATATATTACCCAAATATGGAACCTAGTAAATAAAATGTTTTATGCGGGGGAAAGGAATTAATAGTAATATCAATCCGTCCTCATCGCGGTCCCCCATGGATACCACCTTAATTATGTATTTCTTCATAAATTCATTCCAATGAAACAACTGGGCTGCTTTCACCCTCACCTATCATCTCTCACTAGTATCCTGTCAGCGTATATCGATAGCGCAGTTGGGGTTACCATTTATTGTTATCCATTAAAAAAAAATTATATGCAACTTGGAGTAATAAAAAAGCTGACGAAAGATGATGAACAACTTGATTGAAAATAGTAACCGTCGCCTATAAATAAACAGGGAGGGAAGGGATTGAACCCGCAGTGTTCAAAAGGCTCCTTGACTAGACTAGTGCATTTTCATTGGCGGGTTACAAAACAAATTTACTATCGTGATTCGTGTATAGCGGAGTTATTAACCCGATATCAGTATATAACGGAACCATAAATTAACGAGAATGAAATAAAATAAGGGAGGCCTTTCCCAACAATTGGATTATTTATGATACAAATATATTAAAGAGAAATATTTATTATAATTATATTGATGATTATCATAAATTACTAATATTTACGATTAATTTATCATTAGGATATAAATAAATAAACTATATCGTGGCATCCCTGATGCATTGCTATTCTTGAAGAATAAGATATTTCTAGACCTAATACATTTTGAAGTGATTGTAAAAAGTTACTAGAATATGCAAACTACAGTAACGTTCATTCTGATAGACTAAGATTGTCACAGACTTGATAGTTTTTGATATTTTCTCATTTTTCTATACCTTAGGATTAGCTTGTTGTCTGCTACTTTCTATGCATAAATTTTAGAAATAGGAAAACAAATTATGTAAATCACTTTAGATGGCTAATAGATTATAGTTACTATATTATTATATTATTAAGATCTGATAGTCTCATTAAATATATAGAGCCATATATTCTAAAGTAGATCAAATATTTTTCAGCTTAATCACTGACGATGAGTTGGGAGAATGGCGCGCTCGTGCCATGCACGATCTGATATTTTGTTATGCCAATGATTCACGCAGAGTTTTCAATACCTGCCTACTAACCGTGCCAAGGCAAGCTTTTGATAAATATTATCATAAATCTATTTGAAATTCTCTTAATAATTAGGTGAGCGCGAAATTAGTAAATAACAAGGATATTTTTCGGAATTCACGCTTCTGGGTTTATTTCTATGTGAAAAAAGCTTATACTAATTTTGAGACGATCTAATCATTATATTAATAATAAAAAGTGTAGTTGGAATAAATAGTAAAGATTAGTAATGCTTAGTTTAGTTATATTTATTTATCCCTATTAGCAGCAATCCCCAAATTTTAATTGTTGCTTTAACTTTTAAGTTGCGAAAACAGATTATGCTTTATTTACCAAATAAAAAACTAAATATATAAAATTCCAAGTTTATATAAAATTATTGTCATTGGTAAATTCTGAACCCCCACTCCCTTCTAGAAGTAATGGTCCAAAAATGCCATGAATTTTTCCTCTTATAAAAAAAAAACAGAAATTTGTACTTATGTAGTTATATGATATTTTAAGTAGCACACTGAGATCGGCATTATATTACCTTATTTATATTTTTAATTCATAAATTTCGTAAGTCATAAACTTACTCTTTCTACGAGTAAATCGCCCATAGCATAAAGTACTATATTCTCGGAAACGTTTTTATTTATTGCACTACCTGCCCATGTCGTATATCTTTTAGGGTCGCTGTTTTATACTGTTCTTTCATTCATTCATATATTTTCAGTTACCTTAGTATTCAATATCATATCCAACCATCTCTCTTAAGGTCCCACATCATCGTCATTTCAGCCGTAAACTATCCACTGTTAAACATAAGCCTTTCCCATAACTGAAGTTTTGCCAGTAGTTGCTATGTTTGACAGGCGGGTTGGCAACCGTAATTAGGCTTTTAGAGATATTTTAAGAGGAACGTTGTTGCCCATTCACCTACCTTTAAGTTCTCTTAGTCGCCTTTTACGACATCCAAAAGAAAAGAATGGGTGGCCTATTCTATGCCGGAACCACACGGACGTATAAGCAGTAATGTGCAGTATTATGTATTTACTTAACGAAAATCCAATACAACAATATAAAATAATAGCGTAACTGATTTTCACATAGAAGTTCATTGCTCGGCTTCCAATGTCAGCGCCTCGAGAAACAACCTCAAGGTCTCCATTCATTAAACGATACGTATACGTCAGGTTCATTGATAATTTGCGTCTGTGTTTGTGCACCTATCAATGAATGTCACGCTGTCACTGTGTGCTATCCGCTATGGAAAGTTACACGCCTGTGTGAAATTATTTACCATTGGTTATGCGTGATTGGCATTTATATGCAGTAAACGTAAGGCACTCGTATTGTGTAGCTAGGTATATATGTTTTGAGTTCCCGTAAATGGCTATGAAATTTAGTGTATGGAGATTTTTAGAGATTAAAAATCGATATAGATACGTCACAAAAAATTATCTAACGAAAGAGAAGATAAAGAAATTTACGATTTGCGATTTGAAGTGAACTCGAACTGCATAAGTAATTAATGATAATTATATAAATTACTAATATCCGCTTTACTCACATGGCCTTTGTAGTACATATTTCACGTATCTGTAAAGGAAGATTTTGTTTAAGATGTAACGCAAAACAAATATGAACCTTATATACTAATGATATAAAAAATTAGAACAGACGGCTAAGTATACGTATATAAGTACTTATAGTATACACGTATATATATCGTACGACATTATTTACATAATACCAGCCCACTTCTGTAATATCATCAAATTATTTATCATAAATTCATATGACTAATCGGTAGTTATTCGAATCAGAATATACATAATTTGTATTTAGGTATCGGTTTGAAAAATTATAACTACAGTGTTCAAATTTACATGTCGATGTGATGAGTAAACTTCGAAATTATTTACTTAGGTACCAATCGAGTTGAGGTTAAGAAACCATTTTACAAAGGTAAAGGTATTTTTTTGGATTTAGATGTTCACTCAAAAATTCGCCACTTCCGGTCATTTTTGTATCGATCGTAATATATATGTATATCGAATAAGTTTTGAAAAAATAACACTTTGAGACATCATAGTCTGTTTGAATAGAACTTAATAAAAAAGTAATTAAACGAAGACCATATGCACTTGTTGATGCAGATTGTAGTACAAATAAAAAATCAATTATTTGATTGAATGTTTCGATATGTTATCAATTTCGAATAAATAGTCTTTAAAATATCTTTAAAACGTCTTACGGGTAGGTCCAGGTTATATTTTGGTTAGATTTTAGTGTTTCTACTATAAATTTGACAAAATTGGCTTATTTTTTTATTAAGTTTTGTTTAAACAGATTATAACTACTATATTATGTGACTTCTCCTTTTGGTAATAACATACATACTAGAGCTCTGTATATAGATATGGTTGGTTATGTTAAACTTATTTTGATTCAAGTATTCGAAAAAAGCATAAGTTGTGTGCGTGCAGAGTTTAATTATACCTTTAACTATAAATTATTTATTTATTTATTTATTTACACTTTATTGCACCAAGTAAAAAGAGAAATAACAAATACAGTAAATATTAATGAGAAGTGATACAAAAGGCGGCCTTATCGCTAAGCAATCTCTTCCAGACAACCTTTGGGTAGAGGACATTGAGAAAAAGACAAAGAGTAGGTGGCGCACTATTATATAAATATTATCATATACAAACATATATAGATACATACATACATATATACACATACATATATAATATAAACACAATTAAATATATACATAACATACATACATACATACACATACATATATAATATATACACAATTAAATATATACATAACATACACATACTTAACAGCATACATACAACAGAAAAAAATGATGAAGGAAAACGAAGAGAGAACACAGGAAAATAGTACTAAAGTGAGAGGTAGTAAGATTTAACAGAGGTTTTGAAGCTAGTAAGAGTTTGAGCGCACCGAATAGAGGTAGGTAGTGAGTTCCATAGACGAACTGCCTGAACAGTAAAGGATCTAGAATAAAAGGAAGAAGAATGAGTGGGAAATTTAAGTCGGAGGTTATTGACACTGCGTAAAGTATGATCATTAGCCTCACTGAGAAACAAGAATCGGTCTTTTAGATAATCAGGAGCAGCAGGATTAAAAAGGATTGTGTAAAGAAGAGACAGGATATGCAGATTACGACGAAAACGGATAGAGAGCCACTTGAGTTGAGTACGAAATTGAGAAATGTGATCATATTTGCGAAGACCAAATATGAAGCGGATACATAAATTTTGGAGACGCTCAAGCTTGTTTAATTGCTCTTCGGTGAGGTCTAAATAACATGTTATTAAATAACATATTATTTAACAATAAAAAAATCTAAAAACATTTATGATATTATTACTTATAACAAGTTAGCTGTTTCTTCAGCTTCGTCTGTATAATCGGAACATATTGATAGATTGTGATAATAATTAAAGATTGTGTCCTACTTCATTTGTGACAAAACCAGTTATTTAGATCTATAAACTAAATTATTGACCCGATTTTGAGAAAATTTCTGCGAGACAAATCTATAAGTATATCTTTTCAGATAAAAAAGAATTTTCTAAATCGGTTTATAACTGACGGAGTTATGAGGTAACAAACATAAAAAAATACAACCGAATTGTGAATCACCTTTTTTTGGGGTAAGTTGAAAATACGCAATGCTACTGATAATAAAATAAATTCGCAGCTTATAACAAGACCCAATATATAGATAGATCTGTCTACTTTCCCGTATTCTACATTATTAGGACAGGCGCGTTTCATATTGCATGTCCATTCATAAAAAAAGTCACGACTCGTGTAAAATGTGTATATACACAGCTCTGTGACAAAACAAACAATAGCCGGAATAAATAACCACGGCAAAACGGACGCTCATACTAACTATAGCCGAACAAGTTCCGTATTCGGGTTCTTGCCACTGTACTCTGGTTCTGTTAATTCCTTAATCAGGTATAAACAATAGAGTGTAGCGGCTTTACGCGTGAAATGCTCCGGTTGCGTCGAGATTGACGGAAATCCTGGTGCTGAACTTCGAATGAGAGTAACGGGATTATTAGGGTTAGTTATAATGAACAGTGAAGTAAATTCTATTTTAAAATACATATTAATTCGCAATTAATATGTATTTTACGCTACTGTGATAGCGTACCGATCGAAAAAAGGAGACACTTCATAATCCAGTTGTTTTTCCTTTATTTGTTACTCTAGAACGAAAATTCGTTTTGGATTCTATTGTCTTTATTTATTCATTAAAATTTTAATGCTCAGTAAAATTCTATGTACATTTGGCGGACTTAACACCGGACGGTGTTCTCTATCAGTCAACCATTGGGCAAACCGAGAAATAAGTAGGCGGTGCATTATTGAATACAGGAAAAGTAAAGCAACAATTTAATATTATAATTTTTTTTTTTCTTAAATATCTTTCATGCATAGATATCGTCTAATTACAAATGTATTGTATTAAAGAGATTTGTTGCAACAATTTATTATAAAATATTGCATTTCTTAATTGATATAATTGCAAGTAAAAGTCGAAGAAAAAGAATTTGAATGTCGAACTTTCACTGCTTAACTGTTAACAGTAATATGAACAACCTTCCGTGTGAGTCACAAGAACCGATATTAACACTTGCACTTGTTCGTGGGCATTCCCAATGATTCGATGATATGATCATATGATGTAATCATACTTTGCTTAATTAATCATAGCTAGATTACTTCGCGTTTTGAGTAATTTGTGTAATATGGAACCTCTGTCTTGCGATTTTGTCTTCAACTGAAACTCAGCAATGCATCATCATACAATATATTCATCGTCCACTATTGGACATAGAACTTTTTTATATACCTATAAGAAAGTTTTGAAATAAATTATGATCGAGATTTTGTCTGTTTATTTGTTGATGTGATGAACCAATTTACCAGAGGGAGACTTTGTACAAAAGTTGTTTGCTTGGGTACCTCTGTCCCATTCGTGTTTCAACCATGAAGTAGTTGTGTTTGCATGGCTGTGTTTCGGTTTGAAGGGTGGGATATGGCGTGAATTTACTGGGTACAGAGGAATAACACCTGAGTCCTCAGGAATGGCAACGCATGGGGGGCATCATGGGCAAATCAGTATACTTTGTTATGTCCATGGTACTGCTCATGTCTATAGGCGACGGTTACCACTTTGGCCGTCAGCTTATTTGCCATTCTAAGTCGTATAAAAGAAAAAAAAGAATATGCAATACTGACTTCATGTGCTATCAGTATACGTTGGTGAGGTACCATTAAATGTTGATATGTGAAAGTGAAGTCAGTCAGTGATTTAATCGTGATCATATTATATGATACGTGTTATTATATAGAATAAAAAAACCGACTTTAATTGTGGCAAAACCAGTTACTTTAATTTAAAAACTAAACGACTGAACCGATTTTGATAAAATTTATATGGAACTAATCTGCCAATATATCCTTTCAGATTAAAAAAGAATTTTATAAATCGGTTTCCAACTGAAGGAGTTATGAGGTAACACACGTAAAAAAAACAACTGAATTGAAAACCTCCTCCTGTTTGAAGTCGGTTGAAAAAGTAGACGTACTACTAGTGGTACAGTTATAGTCATTTATATTTTGATAATACTAATGACGTATTGTTTTTGTAATTGCAGAAAACATCTGGCTCTTTTCTTTTCTAGATCAATTCCCCACCCCATGACTACTTATTGCATCAGTATTGATTCATATCATAAGCAAACATATGATTATACATTCTGTATAAATAAACAGATGATTTACGATATTTAAATAATAATTATATTTATACGTAGAGTAAGTAGTATTAATATTATAGTTACCAAATTTTACAGTAGAAATTTAATTTTGCAACTGTATTTGCAAATATTTATTAAGAAAATTTATAATACTTATAACATATAGAAAATACATATACACAATACATACCATATAACATACAGAAAAATATAGAGTAATAAAATATTTTAAAATCAAGACATTTACCCAAAATTCTTAGTTAAAGACTTAAGCTGCGGATACCGGATGGCGTCTGTAGAGATAATGACAAAACTCGTCACCAGTCTATATAAAATTACGCTACGTAGCAATCAAAGACTAATTCAACAGGTATTTAAGTTTGATTTCCAAAAAATCCCTACAAATACTACGCGTATATAGTATTTAAAATATAAAAAATTAAATAATTCCAGGAAAATATAATTTATACTAATATCAAAAAGAAGAAAGAATTGATTCTTTATTTGTTTATTTATTTTATTTATTTATATACATACTTGCACACATTAAAATACTACTACTACTGTTTACTTAATATTTGACTTAATGCCTGATAGCATTATCTACCAACCAACCGTTACGCTAGAGTTCTTATGATGTTTATCTTCAGAGAGTATTGATTACGATGACATTCATAGAAATAGGTATTGTTTATGATGGATAAACTGAAAAACTATATATTTAACAAATTTTAAAAAATTATTTCACCTACAGAATGCTACATTATCAGCAAGTAACATAAGCTATATTATATTTTTTACAATTAAATTCAATATAAATAAAAATATAAAAAAAAATATCTACACGTTATAATGTTAATCAAACAGCTGCCAAAATTTATTCCACACGTCCAACGTAATACTATATGTTTGACGTAAATAAATTTGTTTCATTGTATTTTTAAACCACATTTATTGTAATAGTGACTAATACGAGTATTATAACATGACTTTATTGTATGGTCCAGTTCGTTAATATGTACAAATATCCAGGTTTCAAGTATCATGCATTTTATTTTCAATATTATTATATTTTTGTCATCATCATCATCATATAAGCCATTATATGTCTACTGCTAAATGTAAGCCTCCTTCATAGACTGCCTTAAGGAACAAAGGAACGGGACCATACCTTATAGCAGTCTATATATATATATATATATATATATATATATATATATATATATATATATATATATATATATATATATATATATATACATGTTCAAACGTCAATATTTAATGAAACTGGAAGAGAGATTGAAAAAATAACTATACAAAAATGTTTCCTTAAATGAAAATATATTTATTAAATATGTATTTATATATTATCCAGTATTCCTGAATTATTTTAATCTGTCTAGTAGGTATGTAATTGATCTAAAAGAAAAATATCGTCGCACCAAATGGATGAGACAGGTGGTCATGTATTCATATTTGTAAATACAAATTATTATTTGCAATTGGTTACTATTTTTTTTAAAATAATAAGTAAAAATAAATTAATAATAATAGTATTATATAAATGTATAAAGAAATATAATTATTTTATAAATGTTATATGTATTATGAAACAAATGCTTTACTTAAAAATACTACTTTGTATTTTGTTATTTTTGGTTATTTTTATTAGAGAGTTGTTCAAATATATGTATAAAAGTATTCATTACAAAGTAAATTTTGACGTGTGCAAATTGGTGCTGAACAATATTTAAGTAATTTCCATACGTTAGTAACAATTATCGATATGACCTTCTCATGTGTTCCTCATGATCTCGTCTGCGATATGACAGGTTGTAATTTTGCTAATATTGACCACCGTAACATGAACCTCCCCTGAAAAGAAAATTCAAAGAGTTTACAACTCTATTTGTTAAAAATTCAATGTATTTTATATTAACATTCGTACGAATAATTATTGTATTCAAAGTTCTATCTATAATGGTGTGGTGTTCAAAAAGATCTAGGTCACGAAAACCATTGCTCCCAGCCCCAGGCTCGACCATCTAACCTAAATATCAAATTACCATCAAACTCAGACTGATGATTAGTTTCGGTCATAAAAAACGGACACAATACCAATTTTATGCTTGCAGTTTTTTGTTATAAGTTTACCTTAAAAGTATTAGTTATTAACTAATACACTATATAATTAAATTAAAGATTGTGTCCCATAAAAACAGACTTCAACTGTGATAATACCAGTTGTTTGGATTTAAAAACTAATGAATCGATTTTGATAAAATTTATCTGGCACTAATCTGTTAGAGTATTCTATTAGATAAAAAAATAGTTTTCCAAATTGGTTTAGAACTGTCGAAGTCATGACGTAACAAACATAAAACAATATAATCCAATTGAGAACTTTCTTTTTTAAGTCGGTTGATGAAGTTGGTTGGAAAAGAGTATAGGTATATTGTCTATGATGCATGATAAAAATCAATCGGCATCGAGGAATATGCGCGTCGAAGGAGATAAAGATACATAAAAAAGAAAAAAAGTTACATTTATTACAAGCGTGTCGAAAAGAAACCTAGAGATGGCGCCAAGTTTTATAAGCACCTCCATTATATTTGCATACACTTCCGCACAAATGATAAACACTAGCTATCTTTTTTATTCTTATTATTTTAATCTTCCATCTCTTTTAAATTATTAGGATAGTATACACTACATCGCTAAATATACCAATTAAATAAATAAAAGCCTATGAGTGCTTTCACTGTATTCTAGATATAATTTTATAATTGTTATTCGAAATATAATGTATTTTATAATATAAAATTATATTACTAATTAATTGTACAACTGGATGAGCTTTACACTCTTCTAATACGCTCATCCAGGAAAGCATCAGTACAATAAAATATATAAAAAAATACATAAAAGAAATATTATAAAAAATATTTAACTTATCTTCCTAGATAAGGATCTAGGCTCTAATGTTATTTCTATAACATTAGAGCCTAAATCTTTGAACAAAAACACTCTGTGTTCATCCAACGAAACTCTAGCAAGTTGGAGGCAAATACGTCCAAATGTGGATATCTTCTCAAAATATCATTGAAAGTTTCAATGCAAGAGATAGGAAAGCTTGCTTAGCCAACTCTGTTCTTCTTAACGGAACATCAAATAAGAGCCGTCTACGTGCTCGCATGTAGTTACTGGGTGTTCCTATTGATATTGATACCAGTACACATTTTTTTTATACAACTTAGAAAGGCAAACAAACTGACGGTCCACCTAATGGAAAGTGGTAACCGTCGCCTATAGACATGAGCAGTACCATGGACATAACAGAGTAAACTGTTTCGCCCATGATACCCCCATGCGTTGCCATTCCTGAGGACTCAGGTGTTATTCCTCTGTACCCAGTAAATTCACGCCATATCCCACCCTTCAAACCGAAACACAGTCATGCAAACACAGCTGCTCCACGGTTGAAACACGAATGGGATAGAGGTATCCAAGCCATCGACTTTTGTACAAAGTCTCCCTCTGGTAAATATATATTGTATGTAATGTTAAATTCCGCTACGCTTAATATGAGTCTCTCTGCCAACAGTCGAATATTGACTACCACTATTACTACTAGAAGTTCCATTATTAGCCATCAATTTCAAACTGGAATTTTCGTTTTGGAAAAAAAATATGTACATGTTGGAATAATTTGAGTCCAATTAAGTAATTTTGTTAGTTTTCTGTTAGTATTATTTTTAGTAAAAATAGCATTTCTTTTGTTGCAGGTCTTACAACCGTCTATAGCCCCGACCGCATCGTACTCTAAGGTGAGTTTTTAATCATTCGCTTAGAATGTTATTAGAAATATTAATTTTCTCATAGAATTGCCAAGTATAGCGACTATAAATTTCGAGATGAGTGAGAAATGAAGCTTCTTTGACGAAAGAGTTGAGCTACTCAACTGATAAGAGTCTTGGTATATAAAGCGTAACGTCAAATGCTGTGTGGGCTCAAATCACGCTTATTTCGAAATTTTTTCAATCATACAGTAAAAATTAGGTAATCGAATCATATTTTTTTATATTTTTCAATTCTCTGTTGCCAAATAGCTAAACGTTAATAAAATATGTAATCCATATCAACTATTAATTGTCGACTGCTAAAGATAGGCCTCTCCCTATTGAATAGTTTTGCCAGTAATTGCCACGCTTGGCAGGTGAGTTGGTAACTGCAGTTAAGCCTTTACGATGTTTTATGATGGACGCTGCTGCTCATTTATCGCCCATTAAATTTCCTTGAAAGAAAGAAAGAAAGAGGTGGCCCATTCTACGGCGGACCACGCGGTGATAGATAAAGTATGTAATATACTAATAAAATGTAGGTAGTTTATTTTGTTAGTACAAGCTGATATTAAGTACCTATAGTTTGTACCAAGTTTATCAAACGGTTTTCATAAAGATGGCAAACAAGCATACAGTCCGTCTGATGGTAAACGGTAACTATAGCCTATAGACGTCTGCAATACTAAGGATGTCACGTGTGCGTTGTCGATCCTAAATTAACCTTAGTAAGTCCTTTTTAAAGAACCTTATACTATAGTATAGAGAAAATCTTGACACGTTGGCTCATTCTACTACATGACGAAACTTCTCTGAAATCACATTGTGCGCGACCAATTAAATTCTAGTATGTAAGCATGAATTCCCTATCGATGGCGAGTGGTGCGACGATAAAAGGTGACTGTGGGGGATCATTTCTAACAATTCCTGAGAACACAAGCATACCTACCTATTGCCCTCGTTTTTATCAGCATACGAGTACGTGACTACTGTCAGAGAAACAGGTGTTCATTTCTAAAGTTGCAACATATGTAAATATAGTAATAACAAAATATGACCATACATCAGGTGAGGTTTCCGTTCCGATCAATGACTTGAGGCTGATTCAGTAACTTATGAAATGTAATCAGATATTTCGATATACCTACGTGACATGCATTACCGATACAGTCGAAATTTATATAAATACAAATTTTTATCTGTACGATTGGGGTACATTGATTTTTTTTTATTATTATTATATCAGTTGTCAAATGTCCAATGCTGCATATCATTTGACCATTTAGTTCCCTTAGTCGCCTTTTACGACACCCACAAGAAATAAAGGGATGGCCTATTCCATACAGGTATCAAACGACATACGTTGATTGTTAAAAAATAATTAACTTACATAATATTATAAATATAAAAGTATTTTGTTTATTGATTTGTTATCTTTAGTGCCTTAACGGCTTAATCAATCAATATGAAAATTGTTATACAGGTAGTATATGAAACAGAGAAGGATATAGGCTACAATTTATCCCGACACTAAACATATCCTGGTCATGCGAACAAAATCGCGGGTAAAAGCTAGTAACCAATAATTAAACCCATTTTATACTCATTAATAGAAATAAAAAGTAACTTTTTCAAATAATTCGCCTCTTAAATACAAATATAAAAAAAGAATTGTTTTGGCTAAATTTGATAACGATTAGTTAAATTTGATAACAAATCCATTTTTACATTTATAATTTAAAAAAAGTAAGAATAACGGTTAGCAATACCCGTGATTTCGTTTACGAGGCTAAAAAATATATAATACTCAATAACAAAATCAATATGTAGAGTTATCAATCAATCATGATAAGTTGTTAATTGAGTCAACAATGAAGAACATTTATTTTCATATTTGTTATAGTTATAGCGAACAGGGGAACCGCTGAAATATAACATTAGGAGGCAATAATATTAAGAAAGCAAAGAGATTTGAAGTAACATTTAAAACCTATATAAAAAAAATAAACATATTGATTATTTTTTTTAAAAAGACCAACTAGATTGTCTATGGTATACCACTTGACGTTTTCACGCTGACTTTATTGCGTTCACATCACTTAGTGTAAATGTGTTATTTGTAATTGGTTTTATAATATTTTTCGTGTATTGTATTTTTGATGAAATTGTTTATTTTATTCGAGGTCATGGTGTGGTACCATCCGTAAATTGTTAATGGAAAGATTGGACGTTAATGCATTAGTTAGGTGCGTGGGAAAAAAAATCTTAGTGTCTTCATCATGTTGAACGGATGTTTTCATCGAAAGGTAGAAGAAGTTCTTATTGGGAGTTTTCAGGTATGAAACTATATTAATAGCTAGCAATAGATATAGCGGTCACCCTTTCCTTATCCGTATATGTCGTAAGAGATGACTGGGATGGACAGCAGCGTCTTTCTTAAAATATCACCAAAGGCTAAATGTGGTGCAGTGTCAAACTACCTGCCAAGCATGACAACTACTGGAAAAAATTCCCTTTATGGGGAAGACATATGTTTAGTAGTGGACAGTTAACGGCTGTTACGATGATGAATATATGTAGTTATAAATTAATATAGATTTTCATAAATTCATTAATCAAAAATCAGAATAGTTACGTAAGCCGAAAAACTGTGCTATCTTAAAAAAAAAAATAAGACACGTAGTTTTAAAATTATTTTAGGATTATATTATGTCGACATGTATAAGATAACATAGTAAAAGTTCTATAAATATTAAGCACGAAATAATAAAAAATATGAAAACGGACAAAGCAAAACATGAATGTAAGACCGTTTTCGTACTTAGTTCTTTCTAAAAAAAAACTGAGAAACTCTAATTTTTTTTAATATACCTACCTACCATAAGAACAGTCCTTATAAAAAACCGATTTTAATTTATATTTTGTTATTTATTAACACAATCGTATTTGCAAATATTAATAAATACATTCAGACAGATATTAATATTTAATTTTCTATAAACAAATTTTGTGTAGAAGATGCAAGGCGGCAAAATTAATATATGAGACTTTGTACAAAAGTCGATTGCTTGGGTACCTTTGTCCCATTCGTGTTTCTATCGTGAAGCAGTTGTGTTTGCATAGCTGTGTTTCAGTTTGAAGGGTAGATTTGAAGGGATATGGCGTGAATTTACAGGGTACAGAGGAATAACACCTGAGTCCTCAGGAATGGCAATATCAAGTATCATGGGCGAAACAGTATACTCTGTTACATATACAACTTAGAATGGCAACACAGCCATTCTAAGTTCTATAAAAAAAAAACATATAGTGAAATAGGAATATGTCTATGTCTATGGATAGACTTCGTAACGTCTCGCTCTGGTCATTAAACTAAAACTGTCACATAAAACTCAAGTATACAGAATATTTAAATATTAGTGATCGCAATTCAAGTAAAAATAACTTATGTATAAACAAAAAGAAACAAATCACATTTACGAAGAATTGTTTTAAATTTTCAAAGTACCTCACAACAACAAAACAGTATCGTAATCAATATTCAAGTGATCAACCGGTGTGATTGATAAAAAGTTCAATTATCACGATTGCCTCATTAGTTCGTAGTTTAATGTATTTTCCTGTATTTAGTACCGTTACTGTAATTGTCCCACACATGTCGACAAGCGCCGGCCCTCGATGGATGTTTTCACACAGCCTTCCCTGTTTTTGTCATAGATTTTATATGGAGCAGATAGGTTACAATTTCATAAGATTATTAGCAATTTCAAATTTATTTACTTCAATTAATTATTAATTTATTTTATTTTCGCGTTATATCGTCATTAGGTTGATGAGGTACACCAAACGTAATAAGTTTAGATTTTTTTATAGACCTATCAAACAATATGTAGGTATTTTAATGTTCAAAAAATTTGTAGATACAGAGACAAAGAAAGAAAGAGTTAAGAAAGTAAATATTTTCAATTTAAAAAATTTGTAAAGACTATTATGGGGAAAGATATTGCTTTAAACACATAAAAGTACTAATCGCTTGGTTACTTGAAATTGTGTTTTTAACAAATTTTATATATTTTTTTCAAATAATAAAGAACATTAACAAAAAAAAAAAAAACGATAACAACAAAAGAACAAATTTTTTACGTCTTTATTCATCCATTTTACATAATATATTTTAACATAAACATAATTTAATTTAAACTATTTTCTCACAAGTAGAGAGAAATAGTAAAACAGAGTGTTGTAAGTCATATAAGCGTCTTCTACGATGACATTTAATAGCGTAAAAATATTAGACCAAATTATTAGTACCTATACACTTGTCAACGTCGTAAATGAAAGCGATAATAACCTTGAAGTTAATGTTGTAAATATTGAAGGGTTTATGATCAAACATAGAGAAAAAAGGGGTTTTCTGGTTACGTGTTACGAATTGCGTGTATTATTATGTCCGTTGAATTTCGTCATTTAGTTTCAGCGAATACGTATCGGATTCTGCATCATTGACCGTCAAACATGGTGTTTCCACCACTTGAAAACCTTGTAACATATTTGTATTGTTGATCATCTATGATTCACGCGCTCTAGATTTGTCATTTTTTTTTATTTGGTCTCTTACATTATTTTTTGTTGGTGGTAGTCATTCTTCTTAATAACTTAATAGTACCAGACAGGATTATTATATCTGGCACAGTTTCTCGAAGCTTTATAAGCCTCTATATTCTTATGTGTATATTAAGCTATGCCTTCGCCAATTATGAACAGATATTGACAATCCTTTTTACAATTTTGTTTTACTCTCATAATCTTTCTAAGTTTACTTCCATGATTAATCCCGAATTTATAAATATCTAATTATCTAACGATGCATTTTTTGCTTTAAACTAATAATGAAACCGGTCAACGTTGAACTCATACGCCGAGACATACACGAAGTATACGAAATAGACATCTAATAGTTACTGTTATTAATACTGAAATGTGTAATT